ATAATTCTATCTCTCCCTCATAGTTTTAAAGATATAAACAAGGAGTTTAGTATGGGATATTACTTCTGCTTTCAGCTTTTCTGAACAAGATCTAAAAGAAATTCAAGTGATGTGTTTTCAGAACCCATCCTTTTTTGTCAAAGTGGACAAATATTTGCTCTGCACAGTGCTTTTTCCCTGGCTGAGCACCATAAAACTTGAAAATTAATACACAAAAGTGCCTGCAAGATCCATTGCAGCTCCTACAAGTCAGCTGTGCAACAATGAGAACTAGGAGGATCATTGGTGCATCAGCTTGTTAACAGTGTGTACATTTATGCTGGTGAGGCTATGGTAGCATGTAGATTGTGGCCATGAGTGCAGGCATGTGAACCAGGAGCTCCATTCAGTACTGTGACTGTTGCATCTTTGCATTTTAGAATCATAGCCATAATTTTGGGGAAATGTTCCAGAAGGATCCCAGAATTGGGATCCATAAAAGGTCCCAATTCTGAAATTGGCATGTGCAGCTGTTGGGAAGAAACCATACAAAGAATGGTTCAATCGTGCATAACTGGCACTTGAGGGCCAAAGTGAACTTGATGTTATATGCTGTTATGATACAGGCATTTCCCCCCTCCAAGCACAGTGGGTGCAAGGTTGACAGTTACAGGGATGCCAGAGGGCGTAGATGGGATAATTTAACCCTTTCCCCTACTTTGCAATCTTGAAGAAAGTGTCTTCTTTGAAGTGAATATTTGCATTTAGGAAATACTGCTGCAAAGCAAATTCTGGCTTCAGCTCGGTTTGGGGAGCAGAAGATCTTTCAAACACAAATGTACATCATTATCAGACCTCACACAATCTGTGTTTCAAAAATCCCAAACATTGAATGCCATGATGGCTGAATAATTGCACTTCATACAGCCCTGAGACTGCTGGTGGGAATGTGATTTTCAATCCGCAGGACAAGACAGATGGAACAGTAAGAAACTGTCCTTGCTTAAGGGTATCCATTGACCACTGTGGGAATTGGGATGCTGGATTCAATCCACCATTGTTCAGATCCAGCTGCCCTCTTATTCTTATCTTCAAGGAAGCAAAAAAGGAATAGCCTTGGAGGGGAATCACTTCAGCTCTTCACACTGGGATTTTCCTCTCAGTCTTGGTACGTACTTGTACTTTGTTTTCTCTGTTATTTAATTCATCAGTTACATTAACACCCCCCCCAAGTGAATGCAAGGTGTTCTACTTGCCTCTTGCCCTCCTCCTCACTTTATTTTTACAGCAGCCTGGTGAGGTAGGTCAGGCTAAGAGCATATGACTGACCCATGATCACACAATGAGAGTCATTGTTCAGTGGGGAGGAGAATGAGAAGCTCCAAAGCCCCAGTATAACTTTCTAACCACTTCAACATTATTAATGGAATTGGATTCTCATTCTAGCTAGGGAATGCATACGTGGACACCCTCTTCCATCTCTGGATCTCTTTTGCTGGATTTAGAATGATAGTGACTAAGAATTTCATATTAAAATTCATACTTACTCATATAACTAATGAAAAATAGAGTTTTTTCATCAATAGCCCATCAACTACTCAGATACAGAATCTAGCAGCAGTACTTCAGTTACTATTACTGTTTCATTTACTGAAATCCATCCATGCTCTTTCATATAGTAACATGAGTCCTGGTTTTCACAGATATAAGTCATCTAAGAGTTTACTCTCCCCACCCACACATCTACAGCTCAGAACATACTTTAAGGAGTGTTCTGTTTGTAAGACCAACACTTAAGTATTAAGTGCCTGATATATTTCTGTGAAACCATTATTTGCTTCCAAATAGAAGGGGAAATGGCACTGCTATGATCATAGTAGTTACTTTAAAAGTGACAGAGTGGAGGGATAAGTGAGACAAATTAAATGGTGAGATAGTTTTCTGAGAAGCAGTTCACTACATTTGGTCATGCAGTTAAGTATAAGGCTTTTAGCCCCTAATCATGGAGCAGCAGCCGAACCAAAAGAATCAGCTTTAATACATCAGGTCAGATACAAACCACTGTTCCAAAGTCATCTGGCAAATACATGACTTCTTCAAATATCATTACTCCTTTCCCCCCCTAGCTATCTGCCCGGAAAGAAGTGTGTACCACTGCAGTATCATTCAGAAACAGTCCAAAAATGAAAAGAAAAAAAAAACCATCTCACACTCAAACACATCGAGAATCAGACATGTTTCTCAGACCATCTCCTACTTCTCAACTTGCACATTTTATTTTATTTTGCCACAGACCTTTCAGAAAACTGTTACATTCAAAGCCCCCCCCCCGTCAGATGTGTGGGTGTTATGTGGCATCAGGTTGCATTTAACTTATAGCAACCCTGATAGGGTTTTTTAAAGCAAGTGAGTTATTTAGAGAATGGTTCTAGCAGTGTCCTTCACTACACCTCCCAGGTTTCCATGGCTAAGCAATGATTTGAACTCAGGACTCCTGAGCCCTAGTCCATCACTCTAGCCAATATATCACACTGAATAAATGCTATAAATTTCTATACAACGTGAGATCCATTCACCTCCCATTAGTCCATAATAGCATGGCAACAATTGGGGACTGTGGGTTTATAGCTCAATAGTTTCTGGAAGGCCATACCTACTCCACTGCAGGGTCCATCACTGAAAATTGCCAGGTAAGGCAGTGCAACCACCAACATCTTCAGTACTTGCAAAGCCTCTTTGCTCCACCCTTAATGTTCACATGATTATTTATTTATTCATATCAGTTTTATTTATATGCCACATTTCTCCCAACAAGGGACCCAGTATTATGGCTCAGGGATATTCTAGGGTGCTGCTGAAACATTTTATTTGGATCCTCACTTCCCAGTTGTGAGCTGAAGGAGGAGCAGTTCGTTCAGCAGTGACCCTGAACCACTGCTGCCCATTTTCACTGCTTCCTACTTGGTATCCCTTCCATTCCTGCCAGCTGTCTTCTTCCATTTGCATCATTGCTCCCTGCACACCCACCTGTTGGTAAACTCACTTCAGTGGTGCCCAACAGCTAGATGTCTGTGGCTAAGATACAAGCTTGGTAGTCCTAGGATGGTACTGTATCCACCGTTGTATACACAGAGCTTCAAAGGTTACTTTTATGAACATAGAATATAATGATACGCTGAAGCTATCCTGAACAGAGCTGTAGCAGATCTAAGCATGTTTATACGCTACTTTTAGATTGTATGCCCTCTGAGTTAGTCTTGTCTTGCTCTATTTTAACTTGTGTGGACAGAGCCATGTACAGTGGTGCCTAGCATTACGAGTGCTCCGTTTTACGACGAAATCGCTTTATGTTGAAGGTTCTGCGATCGCAAAACAATGTTTCCTATGGGGGAATTTTGCTTTGCGATGATCGGTTCCCTGCTTCGGGAACCGATTCTCGCAAAACGACGATTTTCCTACAGCTGATCGGCGGTTTCAAAATGGCTGCCGGGTAAAAAACATGGCTCCCTGCTCTTTTCTGGGACGGATTCCTCACTGCACAGGCAGCGAAAATGGCCGCGCTATGAAGGATCTTCGCTGGATCCTAGGAACGCATTAATCGAATTTTAATGCGTTTCTATGGGCTTTTAAATTTTGCATTACGACATTTTTGTTCTACAGGGGTTAGTATGCAGCCTATGATGCAGCCTATGGCCCTCACTAGCCCCTCAAACCTTTTAGGGCCTCCCAGAACCTAACAGAAAAAAACGGGAGTGGGAGATCACCATAGAAAATTGCTATAGGGCTTCTTGGCAGTATTTTAACAATGATTTAATCTTTATTTAACTAAAGTAAATGTGAACTAAGTAAACATTTTAAAGTTGATTGCTGGTTTGTGTTTTCTATAAAACAATTATTTACCTTAATTAGCCTGGTTACATGAGGAAGTCTTCAATCTGTCTACCATACTTACTGGATTTAGACTTCCTTTCTGCTTAATTGGACACTGTGGGTGCTTTTCTCTCTCAGTGTCTCAGTGGTTAAGACTGTTTGTGCATCAGAGAATCACAGAGCTGGGATTTTGGGCTGTTGCTGCTGTTTAGTGCTTTGGTAAAGTAAGTATTGGTGTTGGGAATTTTAATAATACATTACAAAATAAAGTTGTGGATTAGTGAATGAATTTCTTGTAATGAATTTTAAATGATCTTGCTTTTCAGATAATGAGCAATGTTTTATGAAATATAATTTCATGAAAAAGAAATACATTTTAGAAGTTAAAATATTTATTGATTAATCTCTTAAGTAAACCTTAATTAGTTAATAAGTAGCCCTACTACTTAGCCATTTGGGCCATGCCCTTTTTGCTTTGGATACGGCCCTGGTGAGAGTAGCCTCATTTCTAGGATCTAGGAATTTAGGATGATAAACATCTGTTACTGTTTTAACAGGGGCCTGTTGCTGTTGAGGGCATCAATCTGGATTCCTTTCTCTAGTTTTGTAAGACTGATTGGCTTGATCAGAAGCCAAGGAAAGAAACTTGGCCTTCTTGAAGATCCTACAGAGAGCTGCTTCAATTAGACATGAAAATATGTGTCAGTTTTGCTTTCTCCCACATTGTTGTTGTTTTTTTTTTTAATTCAACTTTCTTCCACTCTGAATATGAAGACATCCATGAATTTTGGTCAATGTTTCAAAAATGAACTCAAATGAAAATTTATCCTAGCCAAATTTCATGGGTATAGAAATGTTCCCAACATAGAATCATGTTACCTACCATGTAGGTGTTAGAAATAAGAAAGAAGAGCTGACAAGCATGATTTAACAGCTAAAAATGGTTGAATGCACAGGGGGGATTCAAGGCTACACTTTTAGTAGTCAAGCACTAAGAGTTTTGATCCTGGCTATATACGCCTCCAAGCTTCGGTTTCTCCCACATGCAAATCTTTTCTTTTTAAAAATAAATTAAGCTCTTTCCATCCCAAACAGGAAAAGAAATTGTGAATTCTGTGAAATCCTTATCAAAAACAAACAGAAGTTCTCACCCACATCACCTCCAGTCTTGAAGAAAGTCTTTGTTTCTTGAAGAAGTTCAAAAGTAGATTCCGAAGGAAACCACTCAAAAAGATCACATCAAGAAGTTCAGCTTTATCTCTCTGGGCTTAACTTCAGGTGAATCTGCTCATTCATGCAAGTTTGTCTGTATCACTACCCTACCATTTATAACATAGACAATTCTTCCAAAGGGACTAAAAGAGAAAAGAACACACATCTGACTTCAGCTGAAACAGACACTTTCCACTAAGCAGAAACTTAAATTGGTTAACAACACAGAAGGTAATTGATTTGTGTAACCGACGTTAGTACTGCCAGCAGATTTATGTTAAGGAGCCCTTTGAAAGTTTATGACTATTGTTTATAATACAATGGCCACTTTTGTCACCTTATTTCATTATGTCCCATCCCCACAATCAGAAATAGTGTGCATATAAACCTGTGGTTTGAACATTGTCCTCCATGCACCCAAAGAAGTGGGCTACGTCTTTAACAATGTATGCCAACTAAACTTTTATTGGCTTAAACATGCTACAGGTGGCTTTGTTGTTTCTTCACCTTTGTGTTCATTGTTGTTTTAAGCCAGAATTGTAAATGTGGATGCACACCAGTCAGGATGGCTAGTTTTAGAACATGTTAGGTAGCAACCTACTTACAACAGCCTTAATTAATTAATTAAATTCTAATATACAGCATCCCCTCAGTATTCTATGTAAAAATTACTCAGAAACAGATCATTGGTTCCTCTTTCTACTGGCACAGAACACCATCAAACTGCACATGTTCCACAAGATCTCAGTTGGATTCTCTCCCAGAAGGCACAGTGGGGATTTGAATCATGGAATCATAGAATCACAGAACTGTAGAGTTGGAAGGGACCCCATGAATCATCAAGTTCAACCCTCTGTCAAAACAGGAAATCTACACCTAAAGCATCCCTAACAGCATCTGTGTCTATCTAACCTCTGTTTTGAAAATGGCAGTAAAGATATATTACTCCCTGAGGCAGCCCATTCCACTGTAGAACAGCTTTTATTTTTAACATTAGGTTGTTCCTAATGTTTAGCGGAGATCTCCCTTCTAATATTTTGAATCCATTACTTCAGATCCTATCCTTTGGACCTTCAGATATTTGGAGATGGCTATCATATTGCCTCTCAGTCTTCTTTTCATCTGGCGGTATATGCACAGTTCCCTCAACTGTTCCTTATAGGGTTTGGTTTCTGGACTTTTTTGGCTGCCCTCTTCTGTATACATTACAGCTTGATGGTATCCTTCTAAATGGTAGTGTCCAGAACTGGACACAAGATTCCATGTGAGTTCTGACCAAAGGGGAATAGAACAGTCCTATTACTTCACTTTAACTGGATATTATACTTCTATTGATACCACTCAGTATTGAATTAATTTTTTTATTGCTAGATAACTTTTTCACATGTACTATTGCCAAGCCTGCTGTCATCTATTTGTGTGTTTGGAGTTTTGTTTTCCTTGACTAAATGCAGAACTCAATCGTCTCTCTGTTGAAACTCACTTTGTTAGTTTCAGTCCAGTTCCCTAATTTGTTCAGATCTTGATTTCTAATTCTGTCTTCAGATGCATTAACTCCCCTCCCAGTTTAGTGTCACTTGCAACTTTCACAAGTATCACTTCCACACTCTTTATCCGAGTCATTTCTACAAATGTTCTCCACAGGCTGAAACAAGGATGGAGAGACAGGGCATGTCTCCTCCTCCTGCTGTGCTGTGCTGATGGGTTTGGATTGACCTTTTCACTGAACAGCTAAACAGAGCTTCTACAGTATCAGTTCACATATTGATGCTTCATGTACAAATTACATTCAAATATGTGCAATACATTTCTTTCCATCCTTTTTCCAGGTCAGATCCCTATGGCACCCTAGTTGTCACTTTTCCTCAAGATGATAAGGAATCATTCACAAGCTCTCTTTAAGTTAGCCTGTCAGCCAGCTATGGATCCACCTAACAGTAGCATTGTCTAGCTCACTTTTTACTGGTTTAGCCATAGGAATATTATGAGGAACCTTGTCAAAAGCTTTGCTGAAACCAAGATACAGTATATCCACAGGACACCCTTCTTCTGCCAAGTCTGTGACTCAAATTTCATCTCTAAAAAAGAGATAAGATTAGTCTGGCTTGACTTGTTTTTGAGAATCCAACACTAGGTCTTCATAACCATAATATTATTATCTATTCCAAATGGTCACAGACTGACTGTTTAATGATCAGTTCTATAACTCTTCCTGGTATTGATGTCAAGCTTCTTCTTTCTTTGTTTATATCAGAAGCCCTACAACAGTGGTTCTTAACCTTAGGTTACTCAGGTGTTTTTGGACTGCAACTCCCAGAAGCCTTCACCACTAGCTGTGCTGGCTGGAGTTTCTGGGAGTTGCAGTTCAAAAACACCTGAGTAACCCAAGGTTAAGAACCACTGCCCTACAGTACAATTAATAAATATATCAAATAGGTTTTGCCAGGTAACACGCAACATCAAGAGCATTTTGGATAGCTAATATAAAATCTCCTGTAGCATATGTTAAGGGATATAGAGTACATTGACATAAACATGCAGTTGCCTATTCTTTTCGATACTCTCAAACAGTGTTGGTGCAAAAGCCCCAGTTTCTTAGTTTCCCCTTGGTACTGGCAGCTCCTGTCAAGTCCACTCCAATGCAATCAAACTGACTGGTCAATAGTTGCCTGGATCCTTTTCTCCCCTGCCCACCTTTTAAAGCCAAGGCTGACACTTCTTGGTCTCCAGTCTTCAGGGACCTAACTTGTTCTCCAATAATGCTCAGAAGTTATAGACAAGCTCTAAAATTACAGCTGCAAGTTCATTTAATACCCTTGGATGCAGCTCCATGAAATCTGAATTCATTAAAATTAGCTGGATGTTACCATAACATCTCTTTGCCAATCTTGGGTAGCAGATCCCTCCCTTCCTCCTTTATTCTACCAGCACTAGGCTGAACATTTCCTTTTAAGAGAAGACAGAGGCAAGGCAGGTGAACTCCTGGCTCTGCAGCCAGGTGCTTAGATCAACTAAGCCATACTAGTTTTCATCAAGGGACACTGGTGATTAGTCATTCAAGAAAAGACTCAAAATTCTCACTACATTCTTAGTTCTAATATGGAGGCACCTGTTCTGGATATAAATGGAGTCCTACGGAAATATCTTTGCTCAGCATTCAGTAGGGTAGGAGCAGCATTGGTAGGGAAACTATAGATCAGTACCTAGCAGTGGAATGTTTTCTTAAGATTTGATTCATGCTGATCAGAGAAAGAGATTGCATGCTTTCAAAAGGAAAGAAGAGAAAGAAAGAGGGCAGATGAGTGGGCTGCAACTATTTGGAAATATAAATCTCAATTTCATTTCCTGGTCAGACAGAATGCTCTGCTCAGAAATGAAACCCAAGAAGAAACCAATAGTTTCCCTATCACATTGTGATACAGAAATATTACATGTATATTGGGAACTGACACTTCAAGAAACACAGAGCAATGAAAGTTTCGCTACTTGAAACACAATTCTCCATCTCCTGAAGCTAATAGTAAACCTCACACTGATTTTTATGGAACGGTAGAGATTTGCCTTTGATTATTTAATTATTTGAGCTGAAGTTGCTTTGTGATGGGGGACAAGGAAGGAGCCTCCCTGAAGAAGGTGAGGACTGTGGCCACATTTGAGCACCCCCTGGGCAACAACAGCTCACTGTAGGCTGATCCCCCTCCTCCAGAAATGAAATGGAGAATTTTATTTCCAAATATAATTTGCAGCCCACTTATCAGATGGTGATACTTGAGGCCCCAGAGCATCTTCCTACTACAGTTATGGAAGGCTTCAGCATATTGTTGTAATTCTTATTAAAAGTAACTTTCCAAGCTCATCTTAAGGGACAAATTAAACACTACCTCCATCATTCATGTAACTGTTAATAAGCCATCTATTCTTTCTGATTACTACAATTACTCAAAAGATTGCTCTCTGTCAATTATTTACATCCTACAGCAGAGGGTAATTTTTGCCTCAGCCCAGCAAATGTATTTAAACTTTTAAAAAAATTGGCTTAGGTTATCTTTGGGTTACAAATCATAAACATTGTTTTAGAAGTAAATTCCTTAGGGGAAAACAACATGATTGACTTACAAGTAGAAGGAGACAAATCTAATTTGGGGTTCTCCCATTATCTCATATCCCAGTCTTAAATTCATCTCATCTTGTTTCCATGTTTCTTAAAGAGCCACATGAAAATCTGTATGTCATTTTTCTGTGGACATCCTGTAATACAGACATTTCCATTCACATTTCTGCCTAATAAACATTTTTTCCCCAAACAGTTTCATCTAATAAGATGTATTTGTTTACATTATTTTTTAAACATAGGAATCTTTGTGTACACTTTTCTCTAATGCATACATTAATTCAGTGGCAAACGACATTACAAAATTTGCCCTATTTAAACATTGAATAAAAGGTTTAACCTGAGAGCAGAAAGAGCAGTGTGACCCCCATCTCCCTCTGTCCTAGATTTTTTGTGTACACAGCTAACACTGAAGAGGAGAGTGTTTTCTGTGCATAGTGTTATATCTTCAAACAATCCACATTTAAATTGTGTGGTGGGACCACCACAGTTGGAGATGGTCTCTTTTTCACATTTAGTTCTTCACTGGCTTGAAGTAGGATGGAGAGACAGGGCATGCCCCCTTCTGCTCTGCTGTGCTTGTGAGTTTGGACTGACCTTTTCACTGAACAGCTAAATAGAGCTTCTATCAGTTCACATATTGATGCCTGGTGTGCAAATTACATTCAAATACAAGTGCAATACATTTCTGCCCATCCTTTTTCTAGGTAAACAGGCTGATGGAAGGAGAGAGGGAATTCTGTCTCATCTAGCTCTGTTGTAGTAGAGATAATCATCTCCTGAGATTATATAAATCTAGCCAATTTCCACTGTTCGACTAACAATCAAATATTAAAACCAACCGCAAGGGTCTTGCTAGTCGAATTTCAGAATGACGAAACATTACATTGTATTATTAATATGCCTCATAATTATACAGGAGGTTATCTAATAGGAAAGTATTACTAATAGACTTCAAAACTATTTCCAATAACAAGTGCCCGAATAGAAAAACAGAAT